CAGGAAGAGGGCTCACCCCTCGGAAAGTGCTTCTTCTGTGGAGTTCTGGGGTGCTGCGGACCTTGCCTTTCGGCGTGTCACACCTGCTTATGGGATGCTCTGCTCTCGGTCTCCCCACGGAATGGGAGGCCCTGGGAGGGCGGTGAGCCACCTGCTTTCCTGGTGGTGGTGTCCCCAGTGCCTGGCACAGGGCCTGGCAGGTAGGTAGTAGATGCTCACTAGGTATCTGCTGAATCACTGAAGGGGCACAGGCGTGGCCTATGCTGTGACGGCTACAAGCAGGGGCCCACGGGCAGGTGCCTGGCAGATGAATTCTTCTGAGGTATAACCTCACACCTGCCCTTTCTCTGTTGGACTTTGGGACACATTTCTCTGCCCTACCTCAGCCTCTGGTGGGTTCTGAGAGTGTGAGCTCCGAGAACCACCCACCAAGCCTCGCTCGCTGGGGATGGCTGTCTTTCCGAAAGCTCAACAGGGCTATCCAGGAGGCCAAGGGCAGCGGCCGCCCTGACCTCCCGGCACAGGCTATGTTGGGGCCTGGGGCTTTTTCACTCAGAAGGGCCGGGGCTTACCTGCAGGCAGAAGAGGATGGGCCGGGTCTTAAAAACATTCACCCCCCGCTGCTGTCAGAAATTATTGTTATTTTTTGGGGGGAACCTTAGACTAATTTAAGAGCCCTAAACACAGTTTTTTCCTAGTAGAAGGTCTTGAGCCAAGGGACTGGGTGTGTGCGCCTGGCACTTGGCTCGGGAGGGACTGGAGAAACAGCTGCCAAGAGCTGAGCCAGGGACAACAGGCCGGACAGACACAGAGCCACTGAGAGAGCGTGACAGCCCGGGAGGGGAGAGGGCCCGGGTGGGTCTCCCTCACACACTGATGCACTGGCAGACAGGCACAGCAGTGGGACCCCGGCAAGAGGGAGATGGGAGGGGGAGGCTCAGGGTGCAGGGGAAGAGAAAACCAAGGAGGGGGGCCTGGCACAGATGGATGGTGGGGTGCGTGTGATAAATTCCATTCTGTACCTGAGGCCCGGAGGGTGGGGTGTATGGGGAAAATCTGCCACCTTCCCGGTAGGCCATGTGGCATTACACACATGCATTCTAGGAGCCCCGGGGGCCACACAGGGGCCCTGGTGGCAGAGCGGTTACCTTTTGGGCTGTGATCCGCAAAGTCAGCAGTTCAAAGCTATCAGCTGCTCCATAGGAGAAAGAGGGGCTGTCTACTCCCATAAAGAGTCACAGTCTTAGAAACTCACCAGAGCAGTTCTATACTCTTCTGCGGGGTTGTTAAGAGTTGGCACTGACTCAATAGCAGTTGAGCTGAGCTTTGGGCTGCTCTCTGCAGGGTTAGTGGTTAAAACCCACCAGCCACTCATCGGGATAAAGATGGAATCTGCTCCCATAGAGACTGACAGCCTCAGAAACCCCACAGGCAGTCTATCCTGTCCTGGGGGTCCCCGTGAGTTGGAACAGACTCCACAGTAGTGAGAGAGGGCCATTACAGTCTCTAAGTGACGTAAGCAGTTAGCTGGCTTGGCTGCTCACCGAAAGGCTGGGCTGCACCTTCAGGTCTACCTGGGCGTGGCTCTGGAAAAAGGTGTGGTGATCTACTGACTTCTGAAATCAGTCACCGCAAAGCCCCTGGGGCACAGTGCAGCTCTGGCCTCCGTGGAATCACCCTCTACTGGAGTCCACTCGGCAGCGCCCGCCAAACGGAAACCTGGGAACGCCAATGCAGAGGTGCTTGAAAGTGTGCCAACGCCTGTACACACCGTTCAGGGCAGCGCTGCCGGGACACTGACATGTCCATGCCCCTTGGGGCCGCCGCCAAACCACAGACCCCCGGGGCAGACCGGACTGGGCTGCCAGACAGGTGTCTCTGTGGTAAAGAGTGCACCGGGGCAGGCTGGGGGTCAGGGGGATGGGCTTCAAAAGCTCTTAGATCTTAAAACAAATGGGGGATATGCATCATAGAATGAGTCATGAGAACTCACACGGGGGAGGGGGAGTATGGCTCACGTGTATTCCCTTCAAGTTATTTTAGTTGTTAAAAAATACGTTGGTTAAAGTCCGACAGGAGATAGCAGGAAATCCCAATACTGCTATTTCCCTCTTTTGAAACACCCCCCTTGAAGTTCTCTGTGCTTTACTCTCCCAGTCAGAGGCGAGGGCAAGCTTTCCTCACTAAGCGCTTGCGGCGAGTTTTCGGAGAAGAGAGGAAAGGCACGTGATGTCAGCAACGTTGGGGTGGGGTGGGGGTGCGGAGCACAGGGGAGGCAGGTGAGGGGACTCCATGCCTGGGGAAGGGAGGGGCAGGGAGGGGGCGCAGGACACACCTGCGGAGGGAAACTGTGACTGTCTCTGGTACAGGGTTTTGGATGACTGCTGTTTCCCCCTTTTTACTTGTCTGTTTTCCAGCTTTTCAACACTGAGCCTGTGTAACTTTTATTGGGAAAATAAAGCTCAACAAATTAAAAAAACAAATGACAATAAAAAAGGCCATTGGGGGGAGCGGGGAGGGTGGGGGAAAAATGAGCTGATACCAAGGGCTCAAGTAGAAAGCAGGTGTTTTGAGAATGATGATGGCAACATATGTACGAATGTGCTGGACACAAATGATGTATGTATGGATTGTGAAAAGAGTTGTATGAGTCCCTAATAAAAGGGTTAAAAAGAAAAAAAAGGCCATTAGTGTGGTACGGGATGTCAGAGACACAAGGTACCCCCATCCCAAATGTGCACAGCACGATGAAACCCACACGGACAACAACGCACGCACGCACACCCATCCCATACGGAGCCAAGCACTCCCCCAGGGAAAGATGAAGACCGGGGAGGGTGGACACTGCCCCTGTTTCATGGGTCATGACGGGCTGGGTCCCTCTGCTCGGTATTGTCTGTCAACGAACATGCACGGCTCCCGCAAGGCAAACCCAAAACTGAAGGAAAGCAGGCGGTTTACAGAGGCCGTGCGGGACTTACTTTGAAAAAGAGGTAGAGGCCCAGGAGCGTGCAGCTGGCGATGATGGGGAAGCGGGCGGCGTCGCGGCTGGTGATGGTCTCGGGCATGTCGGCGGGGTTCTGGCAGGGGGAGAGGAGAGAGAGGCATTCTCAAGGGGCGGTGTCCTCGGAGCAGGGCAGTAGGTCGGGCTTCCAGGGGCTGGGGGCTCTGCGTTCCTGTTCCCTTTGGGGCTTTTGGTGTGTCCCTCCCCAAGAGAGGGACCAAGGGGCTGAGGACCACTCTGCCACTGAGGGCGCCTGGGCAGACCGCGGGCACACGGGGTCTCTCCGCGGACAGGAACCATCTCGTGGTGGGAGAGGTGCTCTGTCACTGAGATAAACCCGAGAGGAGAGTGGCCCGGACCTCGCTAGAAGGGGCTCCCGGTTTCTTCCACATCCGTAAAGGTCACGAGGGACTGCGAGGACCAGAAAGAGGCGGAGAGGCGACCCTGACCCGAACTCCGCTCCCTGGGGCCGAGGGGGAGCCGAGCCCAGGGATAGATAGATGCCCCTTGCCCTTCTGGCAAGTTGCTCACTTCCTCTGTGCATGTCCCCAGATTCAAGATCGTGCCCGAGTAGCGGAACTGTGGGGACAAAAGTGAATTTACTCACAGGCAGGTCTCCAGGGCCTTTACAGGGAAACAGACTAGTACAGACCAGAGCAACATGTGACAGGACAGGCAGGCAGGTGCTGTGACCCACGGTGTGAGCCCCAAAGGGAGGCCAGGGCTCTGATGTCAGCAAGCCTGTGTGTCTTCCCACCTGTGGGACCCTGGGAGGGTTATCCGCCCTCAGAGCCTCGGTGGCCTCCGCTGTAAAATGGGTGTGCGTACGCTACGATTCTGGCACAGAGAGCACTTAACACTGCCCGGCATCCAGCAATCAATCACTCCAGCGGAATGCCCTCTTTTGGTGCCATCATCCCCACAAAGGGGTCACGTGGAAGGAGACCAGACACTACCGGAGGTCCCTGACTTACCACGCGGCTCTGTTCCGGTGACTGACTCTGCCCTCCGCTGACTCTGCCTTAAGCCACACGCCTTACTACTACTGTTATTCTAGTCTGCATTGTGGTGGACTCTCTTATTATCAGCCCTTTTGTACATCGTCACATGGAACGCCTGTGAATGACAACCTCCGCCAAATACGCACCGCGGCCCTCTCCCATCAAGTCGATTCCAACTCAGATGTTCAAAAAACCCCAAACAAACCATAGTCACTTGGGCAAGCAATAAGTCGAGGACAAGCCAGCCTTCTGTCGGGAGGTGAAGGAGTGTCAGGGGCAGCTGGAAGACATGCCATTTGAGCGAGGCCCGGGAGGTCAAGCGCAGGGCCTGGGGCAGAGTAAGAGCCCGGCAAGGGCGTCAAGGATCTGCTCTGTGTGCAGTAGAGGGGGGCCCACCGGGCAGAGGCAGCCGGCACTCAAGCACACACAGGATGCCGTGGCTTCCCTCCAAGTCAGTGTCAGGGCACACTGTACCATTCCTTTCCACCCAGCCCTCAGGCCCGGGCAGGAAGAGGCAGCATTTCCGAAGGCAATCCAAGGCTGGACAGCTGTTCCATCACCCAGAGGCCCCTGGTCTCTTCTGTGGGTTAGGGTTATAAATCTCTCACATGCACTGCCGAGTCAGGAGGGGAGAATCGAAACCTGACAATATACAATAGTGATAAACATTTCCCGAGAGTTTCCTAGGTGCGAAGCACTATTCTAAATCACGCTCTACTTGGCTTTATCCTCACAATGAGAGAGGAACACTTGCGTAAGTGGGATATGTTTTAGCCGTCTCCGACACTTTCACCACCCTGCAGACCAGCTGTCCTCGACTGCTGACCTAGTCAAGGGGAGCTGGTCCTCGACTTCCGACCTAGCTGAGTTCACAATGGCTTTTGGGGGGGGCATTTGAGTCAGAATGGACTTGGTTTTAAATCACTGCAACGAATTCAACAGGAGGCAGGTCCTTTTGACAGCTGCATTTCACAGATGAGCAAGCGGAGGGTTAGAGAGGGGACATAACTTGCCTGAGCTCACACAGCAGGGAAACGACAGAACTGGGATTCAAACCGAGGCAGCCTGGCTCTGGAGCCCAGACTCTTGGCTCCCCCTCCTCTCTAAACGACCTACCTGGAGATGTCTATGAGATGCGCAGAAACACAGTTAGGGTTATCTTCCAATTCACTTTGGAATTTTTAACCAGTTCCTGGTTAAACACAACACACACAACAGCTTCTGAACGACAAAACGCAGCCTTTGTGGGGAGGGGTGGGAGGGAGAAGCTGGCAGAACGAATAGAAACAAATGTAGCTTCCAATGACGTTCTGGATGACCCATGGTCAGGTTGAAGCACAGGCAATAAGGGAAGGCCGGTGCCCAGCTTCAAGTCTGGCTCTGCTTCCGGGCGTCCTGTTTCTAGGCCATGCCCTAGAAATGATCTGGAATTCAGAAGTCACTCGGCTCCAGACCCCAGGGCCTCCTCCCCTCCCCACCATGTTCACTCACTCAACTTTCCACGCTTCTGCTGCCCAAACACCTGAATCTCCTTCCCCTGGGTCCTCTGGCCCCCACAGTGACCTTTGTATTGGCCTCCTGGCTTTTTTGCTCCTACCTGCCTATCACCCACCCTGCAGGCGGCTCTTGAAAAGCCTGTACCAAATCGCACCCACTGCCTGCTTTCAGGACCCCTGGAGAACGTGGGCTCCGATGTGGCCATGAGACAAGAATCCAGGTTGCTGCTGGGGAGGGGAGAGCGAGCAGGGACGAGACCACCTCCATGGTGGGTGCTCCGGTAAAATCAATCGAGATCTGATGTGCGCACAGCCTCTGACTCAGCCGATCCAGCTCAAGGGATTTCCTCTGTACACACAGGTCAGTGTGAAATGGCAAACAAGGAGGGATGTTCATGTCAGTGTGGGGTGTGGTAGCAAAAGAATGAAAGGGGCCCAACGCCCGGCAGAGGGAGGGCTCTCTAAACGGGCACTGCCAGCCTCCAAGTCAGCACTGGCATCTCTAACCCGTTCCCAGCGAGGCTGCTGCCGCCGTCGGAGGGGAGAACATGCGTTGTCGACTAACGGGGAACAGAACTCGAGCTATGTATGGACAGCACTGGGTCGCCAATGTGTACGTGAATAAGGAAGCCCAGATGCAAGAAAGAAGGGCTCTGTAACAAGCCAACACTTGGGGAACCAAAGGGGGGGGGTGGGGAAGCGTATGGTTTAAGATCCGTAGGTGCCCCGGGTGGCGTAAACAGAACACACTCAGCTGCGACCCGGAAGGACGGCAGTCTGAGTCCACCTGCAGGCGCCACGGAAGGTCTGAGATCCACCTCGGAGAGCTGGGGCCATCGAGAACCCCGTGGAGGACAGCCGGACGTGGGATGCCTGTGGGACAGCCGTGAGGCAGGGCCGGACTCAGCACCGGCAGAGGCTCTTCTTGATGGAGAACAGAGAAACAGGTGGCGGGCTGCTTCCAGGGAACACAGGTGGGGGAGTCTCTCACTGTGTGCACCTCCCAGCGCCTTTGGGATTCTGTATCGTGGGCTTGCATGGCCCCACCCTCCCCACCAGAGAAGAATGAGCCAGGTCTATAGGTATCGGTACTGAAAGACGACCAAGATTTATTGTGGGGTGTGGGATGTGTGTGTGTGGATGAAGCTGCAGAGGATATGGACTCTACACTGCCGTGTGCACATACACATCCACAGGCAGGCATGTACAGAGTGCTTGCACACAGGGACATCACGGAGGGCTACACACAGTGGCAAATGGGCTTATTGCTACGGGGCGGTGCTGACGGGCCTTTCCCTTGAAATCTCTCTTTTGTGACAATTTTTTCCCAGGTGTGTACTGCAGACAGTTCCTGCGTTATGAGCAAGAGTGGCTCCCAAGTATGCCTTTAAATGGAATGAGTCAGGAAGCTGGAGCAGGTACATATAATTCTTAGTTAGCCTTACTTTGTGCAGTTGGGTAGGCATTGGACTGCTAACTTCAAGGTCATTGGTTCAAACCCACCAGCTGCTCCGAGGGAGAAAAATGAGGCTATCTGCTTCCGTAAAGACTTACAGGCTCAGAAACCCCTCCATATAAGGAACCTTGGGGGCGCTGTGGGTCACTGTCAGCTGAACCTCACCCTGGGACTTAGGGATGGATTGTTCTGTGTCTCCTGCCCTCCCCTCCCCAACCAGGCTCTGGGTCCCGGATCTGTCACTGGTAGGGTACTGGGCTCATGAAGCTTCCCGCACATGCATCTTGGCAGAAACATCCCTGCCTCCCAGTTTAGACGGTAGTGGGTGTTTGGGAAATTCTGTTGTCTGGAAGGTGTTTCCAGAAAAGAACATTGATCTGTGTGTAGCTGAGAGTCTCAAGGAGAATTCGTTCTGGGAGCCACTTAGGTCAAGCTGCCCCATCTCCTGCTCTGGCCTGGCCTATTTCGGAACTTCTGCTGTGAGCATTTGCCCAGCAGCGATGGCAGGGTAGCTTCATGTCACCCGAACCCTGCTTACAAGAGGGAGAAGAGAAAGGGCAGGGTCATTTCTGAGCCTAAGCCCTGTTAGACTACCCTCCTTTGCATCTGAGCCCTGGAGCTGCTGCCAGTCCCTCAGCTCTTACGGAAGGATGGGGGCAGGCTGCAGCCCTTGCTCACATGGTTAACGTTTAGAGAACCGGGGCTTGATCAGTTTCAAAAGTGGCAGCTGCTTTGCGTGTGTGCCTGCCCTCTTTGGGTGACACAGCTTCCGCTTGGGTCTGAAGGGCTGGCTGGAGGAGGGGCAGTAAGGAGGAAAGGAGAAGGTGCCAGGTAGCAGGAAGCCATGGTGGGCTGATCGGCCTAGAGGGGCCTCCTTGCTGGGCAGAGGCAGAAAAGGCAGGGGGCGGGAGGTGATGGGGTCTGGTCCAGCCTCCTTAGAGAGGTCAGCAGTAGCTGGGCCCAATATGGTAGAAGGATTGTCTCAGGTGGGGATGGGAGGGAATGGTCAGGTCACTTTGAGGTCGTCAGGGGATGAGGTAGTAACCGTTTAGGCTTAGACTAGGATAAGAGGCAGGTCCAAGGCTGGGTAGTAACTGGAGTGAGGAAGCAAGAAGAATAAGTAAGATACCTCTGGTTTAAAAGAGCCACAAAGGCACTAGGTTCTGAAGGGTGATTGTCCTGGGTTATTACTACTACTCAGGCAGAGGGTACCAGGGAGACGAGAGTCAGTCTTAGGTGGGTCTGGATGGCAGAGATGGTCCTGAGGTGGGGCGACCTGGGGTTCCTAACTGAGGGATGGCGAGAGACTGTGCCTATCAGGAGCTCCACGGGGCGATGTCTCCCCACATGTCACAGACCTGGGACCCAGAGCCCGGGAGAGAGCAGGTTTGGCTGGGTTCTGGAGGCTCCAAGCTGTTAGTGCCCGAATCCCAGGGCGGGGCCCTTTGACAGCGATCCTAGGCGCAGGTAAGGGGCACAGGCTCGTGGGGTGTGTCGGGGTCCAGGTGGGGAAGGTGTCAGCGCGGGGCTGGGTGCCCACATCCTGGGCAATCAAGAGTCGGGTCGGGATGTGGACTTGGAAGGGTGGGCAGGGTCGGGGAGGGAGGGGTCTGTCCCGCAAGGGGAGGGTCCGTGTCAGCCTCGGGATGAGGGGTGGGAAGCGGGTGGTTTTGCCGCTGACCCTACCTTGCCGTGTGCGCAGCGCACAGAGCGCAGGGCGCCGAAGAAGATGGGCAGGAGCGCCATGAGCAGGAGGCTGCCGTAGGCCAGCGCGATGCCCTCGGGTGTGGAGGGCGGCCGCGTCGTGCCGTTGCTCGGGCTGGCCGTCTCGGCGCTGCTGTTCAGCGGGTCGCTCAGCGCTGGGTCCATGGCGAGGCGGTGTTGGGCTTACGACTCCAGCTCCCAGACCTGCAGCACCGACGCAGAGCGGGGAAACAGGCGCTGCAGGGAAAGCCACGTTCCCCTAAAGAAACAGGAAGTGACGTGCCCCGCCGCCCGTCCCCTCTGCGCAGGCGTGCGCGCCCGCCCGCCCGCGCGTGCCCGGGAGCCCACATTCCCCCCGCCCGCTCGCCCTCTAGTGGTGGCAGGAGCGCGCGCGCGCGTTGCTAAGCAACCTGCTACGCCAACGCTAAAACCCAAACCCAAACTGCCTCGTGGCGACCCCAGGCGTTGCAGCGCAGTACTGCGGCCCGTAGCGCCAAGGCTGTCACTTTGTGGAAGCTGATCGTCAGGCCTTTCTTCCACGGCACTTTTAAGTAGGTTCCAACTGCCCAACTTCTGGTTAGTAGTCAGTTCTTTGGCACCACCCAGGGACCTCTAAGCCACCTGCGGGTGCTGGAGAAAGCTAACAGACGCTGCTGTGGGTGTCGAGCCCACCAGTCTCCGTCTGCGCCCTCAATCCCAGGCTGCTCTGCACTCTACCACTCCGGAGCTTATCAACTAAGAATTTGTTTAGTTACCCATGCGTTGGACAACTTTTCGATTGCTCACTGCTCACTCCTTAAATGTTTGCATGTGGTCCCACCATATGCCAGGCACCGTCTCAGGCTCTGGGACCGCTGTGTATCCCTGTCCTCGTGTAGCGTGTGCGTAAGTATGTGTACGACAACAAAATGAACAGAATAAAGGATAAAGCCGATAGGGTGTTATGGGGCACAGACCATGGCGTAGTGGTTTGGGCCACTATCTGAAAGGTGAGCAGTTGGAAACCGCCAGCCGGGCTACTTCCATAAACAGCCACAGTCGGGGAACCCCACAGGAGCAGTTATCCCTGCCCTGTAGGGGCACTATGAGTCAGCATGGACTCGATGGCAGGGAGTTCGTATTTTTATCTCCGCTCTGCCGGTGCATTGACTCTGATTTCTGGTGTCCCCCGTGTTACCGAGCCGAGCCACTCTGTAGACTCTTCTGTACAGCAGTTCTATGACTCTCTCACCTAGGGTTGCTGTGAGTCGGAATCGACTCAACCTCACCCAACAGCACTGTGGAAGCAGGTTGCCAGGGCTTTTTCCTGTGGTGCCATCGGTTGGGTTTGAGTTTAGGGTTAGGAGCCAAGTACAAACCATTTGTTGCCCCCTCCCGTCCCCAGTTGGTAGTGAGGGGGTGGTGGTTGGAGTATAGGGTTCAGGGGTGACGATGGAGGAAGGGCAGAGGCAGACGTGAATGTTTGGATAATAGAGTTGACTGCCCATGGCATTCCATGCATTGCACGAGGACTTTAATGCGTATTTTCTTTAATCTCAATGATACTCATAAGAGGTGACTGTTCCCATTTTACAGATGAGGAAACTGAGCCTTACAGAGGCCACACAGTAGTAGAAGGCCGAGGCCTAAGCTCAGGCCTGTGCAGGACTGGAGTGCTTCTGCTCTTTTCAATAGTCTGGCTCTACCGAAAGTTGACAGATATAGATCAGAGAGACTTAGTTCTGGGCCGGGTGGGGTGCAGTTTCAGACTCTGACTGCCTGGACCCGGCCTGAGTGGGTGGGTGAAGGCAGTGCGCCTGATGAACCCACCAATCAACCCAAGTGCAGGATCTGCCCAGTAACCCGGGGTAGGCCTGGAAACCAGAGCTGCTTCTGCTGCCAGCTGGGCTGAGCGTTGGCCCTCTCTTCTTACACTCCCCAGCACTTCACCCAGGGGACTGAGGGGTGTGCCTAAGTTCAGTCAGCTCCGGAGGGTCAAAGCTCCTGCCTGCGGGGTCAGATTTCTGTGTGCTGGATTCCTGGGAGACAAGGACGAGTCACCCCAAGGGTGGGTGCCTGGAGCCTGTCTCTTCGGAAAGATCCTGCCTGGTCAAGATGGGAGCCTGGTTAGAAGCTGTAGTTGTTAGGTTCGACGCTCGCTCCGCTCCGTGGACCCCTCAGGGTTTTCTAGGCTGAAATCTCTATGGGAGCAGACCGACAGGTCCCCAGTCACGGAGCCACCAATTTGTGGGTTAGCAGCCTTGTGCTTTAAGGGTCGTGCCCCCAGCCACAGCCCTCACCACACCTTTTCTTCCCCCCCGCCACTTATTACTGTGTTCAACCTCTGTGAATAGATGTCAGATTTTCCAAAATTTTCTCATAGACACATGCGAGTGCACACACACACACACACGCAATTAAGTATTTAAATGACCCCAGAAATAACATACAAGGATCATCAATGGATGGTAAGCCCATTGGGAGAAAGGTTGTTGAGAAATAGGATATTCATACGGTCTTGAAATAGGACCAGGTGAAGGTTCCTCTCGAGGGAGATGTGCAGAGGGAACACTCTTGTGGCAGTTACATAATCTCCTGTCAACTTGAGCAGTGGGTGGAGTCGAGCCTGTCAATCAGGTCATAGTCAATGAGGCCTCTGTGTGGGCATGGCCTTCTCCTGAGGATTCTGGGACCTCCTACCTTCCTCCCTGGAGGCGGGACACACTCTCTGCTTCAGATTCCTGTTGACAAGCCACATGGAGCCACGCTGATGGAGCCAGAGCCCTGAGCTGGAGGAGCAATGTGGAGACCCACTGAGATGCTTCCACTGCCACTGGATCTACAAAACTTTCCACCCACTGGCCTGTGATCTTTCTACATTTGACATCCTGCCATGGCTGCATGAGTCAAAAGAGGAATTTATGGATTAGTATCGGACATATGGGCTAATATCAGACTTATGGACTTGATCTGGACTGGGCTGGGATGTATCTCTATATATCTTTTATATAAAACTCTTTCTTATACACATAGGAGTGTCTATGAATTTGTTTCTCTAGTCAACCTGGACTAACACACCTCTCTTTAGCAAGTTATTAAATTTAGCATCATCAATAAGGGGCCTATTGAAAGGGCGACCATTTCTGCAAAGCAATGAGATGGTAAGTGGGCAGGGAAACTTGAGTACTGCACATGGAACCGTCTGAGCATGGTTAGAGAGAACTCTGACACACTGAAAAATGTAACTCAACAATTTGTGTAGAAATTGCCTGTGTTAGTCTGGGTTGACTAGAGAAACAAATTTATAGACACTCATGTGTATAAGAAAGAGCCTTATATACAAGAGCAAGTGCATATTGAAAAACTTTCCTAACCCAGTTCAGATCAAGTTCTTAAGTCCGATATTAGCCCATATGTCCAATACCAGTCTGTAAATTCCACTTTAGACTCACGCAACATCTGCAATGACGC